ATATATATACATATATACATATATACAAATATCTATATCTATATCTATATGCATTCATTTCAATTCAAACTCGAAATAATTTCAGTCTTCAGTCTTTTTTATTTCTTTTAGTTCTTTTGAGTACCCACGTTGTATTGTTGGCGTGTTCTTCTATGTGTTCGCGTATTGTTACTGTTTCTTCTGCGCTTATGTATTCCATGTCCTTTCCGTTACACTGTACGTTGGCGTGTTATTCCTTTGTGTTCGCGTATTGTTATTGTTTCTTCTGCGCTTTTGTATTCAACTGCCTGTCGTGCGGGCCATGATGCTCTAGTGCGTAAATCCGTTATATTATTGTTTTTTTTGGCGGCTTTATTGTGTTGGTCCGTATTGTGTGCTTGGTGGAATCGTTCCTTGTCGGCCTCAAACCGAGCTAGCATCTGTTGATGCTCCTGACGGTGTTTGATCGCTAGCTAATTTATCTGAAATGTGTAAAAATCGGTTTGTGCTGTGTAACTCACTGGCGTAGGCACTGGGATTTATGTGAACATTGTTGACTGTCTGTTGTCTGTTGGCCACTGGTTGCGATGCACATTCGGCCATGCCGATAAATTTCGAGATGAGTTTGGCGCGAGTATCGTTGGATCTATGTTGTAGCCCGGCTGTAGTATAGAATCATTACTTAGGCCACCTGCGTGTGGTAGACAAATTGTGTAATATATTTCATTGTTAGCTGTACTATGTTTTTTATGTCGGATGTTGTGCGTCACAGGAAATGATTAATGGACTACGAACTAAAACCACTTACCGTGGATAGTGGAAAAAGTTACATATGATCCTGTGTTGCCGTGTAAAGAGTCTGCATCTGATACTGATGTCGGAGTGTTGCTGTACGTTGATTAGCTCTGAAAGTTTAGAGAGCTGTTGAGTATATCTGTATCTGTGGAATTGGGATACTGCCCCATGCCAGCCGTGAACGCTGGTTAAGAAAGAAGTAAATCTAGTTCGTTCAAATCCAGGTGTTCAGAAACCAATGGTGGCATGTTAGATTGCACATTAATTGTCTCTGTTCCTCCTTTCTGAACTACAGGTGCTGGCGGCTTGAACGCACCGCTCATGGGCATGGCAGAAGGCACCTTCAGGGGACTGGTTTCGGTTGCTGCGCCTGCGCGGCGCTGTTGTTCAACATCTGATTGAACACTCTCGAGGTTAGTTCCTTGGAGTCTGTTGTTGTGATAGCGTAGTGCATGACCGCCTCTAGCGATTTGTGGTGCGATGTATGTCTTACTTCTGCTGCCATTATCTTGGCCTCGTTCAATCTTATGGATATTCCTGAAGTTCTACCGCTTTTACCTGTGAACTTTATGTTGGTAGTGGCCTGCTCCCCAAGTGGAGTTGAGATACGCTCCTGCATTGACTTAACAATATCTCGTGCTGTATTCACGCCCAGGTTAGTCTTCATCAGTCGAGATTGATCCTTTGGATTGGAACCCCGAAGGAACTGCAACGTTGAGCTCTGCCATTCTTCTCTAGGGATCAGATCTCGGTATGTCTTCAATGCATGGAACCCGCAGTGAGTTGTTTTCGTGTACGATCCGCAATCATCGTAACATAGACACTCTATCACACACTTTGCTCTTTGTCCTGGTGATATTATTTTCTGGCCAGGGGGAATAATAATGATCATGAAGGGTGGATCATTGGCTGGTGACACGATAGGGACACCATAACCAAAAGACCAAAGGTACGCGCCACTGTTGCACTGAATCGTGGATCTCTCGCAGGTGTACCGCCTCCAATGCCGTGGCCTTTTGCACAACATGTCGCACCACGTTCTTGTTTTTGAATGCCGCCCGAGCCGCCAAAATCGAGTGATTTCATTGGCTGTATATAATAATACGTATTTAATACTCTCTACTAGTATCAAGCGTGACCAAAGCGATTGAACAGGACACATATACAACTTTTTTATTTGGTTTTTTTATATAGATTATAAGCGTCCATCCTCGTAGCGTGGTATATCGTTTTTTTATGAGATCCTCATACCTTTACTTTTAATATCGTTTTCAATACGTTTCATGTAGTTATCGTCAAATACATTATCTGTATTGTCCAGGTCAATACCCTTACACCCCATTTTTTTTTCGCGGGAAAACAGGTTTTGCATAATCTTAAACGCCGGATCTTCCATCTCCTCATTATTCGGGAGTAGTTACTCGTCTTCCCATCCCGGGTAGACATGATCAGTATATTCTACAAGGTCTTCACAATCGTCGCGCCATTTTCCGCACTACCGACAGATACATAACAAAAGACCTCAGCTGTATTCTTGTCATTTTTAGTGTATTCGTCTAAATGAGAGTCGTCTAGGTCGATATATAGTTCATTAATCAAGGACTGATAATCAGAGCTTTACTTGTCCCATCAACTCCCACGCTGATATTTGTACCACAATTACAACGGTAAAATAATATCGGGAACAGGCGCTCATCTTCCCATCCCGGGGAGACCCGATCAGTATATTCTACAAGGTCTTTATAATCGTCGCACCGGTTTTCCGCACTGCCGACAGATACATAAGACAAGACCGAATATGTACTTTTGACATTCTTAGTGTATTCGTCCAAACGAGAGTCGTCTATGTCGATATATAGTTCATTAATTATAACCTGACAATCAGGCTTTGCTTGCCTCATCGACACCCACGCCATAGTAGTATTGTACTTGCAACGGTAAAATACTATCTAACTGTATACAGTAAGACACTTGTTAAATTAACACCGTATACAACATTTCATTATCAATCATGAGACGATATGATAAATTCTCGGAACAAAACAGTACGTCTATGGCGTTTGACAATACTGAAGAGCTCGCGGTGTTTATCAAAAAAGGGATGGATGAACAAACACACGTCATATCTAGTAGTGATAAAAAGGACGTCACCACCTTAAATGAAGGAGAACAGGTAGTCACTATTAGCCCATGGTCAGTGTTCACGCCTGACAACTTACCTGACAACATACCTGACGGTGAAGTGACTCATGATGACGTTACAGGCCGTTTACCTTATGCCACCATTAATTCTCTCAATCATGAGGCGACAGATAAACTCTACCTAGAGCTAAAGCGCTATCGATAAATTTGCTTGGGATGAAACTACAGCTTGACAACAAACAATAGACTCAGACCACGGACGAATAATATGAAACGGTTTACGAAACCTTGCGGTACTGATGGCTGGACCTATATCCCATTCCCATTTTTGGTGTACACGCACCATTTCACGCTATGGCCGCTATAGAAGAACCCACGTATGGAGTCGATGATTTGTGTTAGGCTGATCCACAATGCTAGTCCCATTGACGAGCGGTGGAATAGCAAAAAAATAAAATGGTCATCAGTAATCGCATACATCCCCCCATCGACAGTGGAATCTGGTGACGGGTTTGTCTGAGATAGTGTAGGATTTGTAACAGGAGTTGGATACGGATAAGCCAGTATGAGTGGTTTTCGTTAATGGAGTCTACCATGTGAGGTAGTGGTGACGTATAGCACGTGAAATCTAAATCGGATGACATCAACTGTGTCGAGCTATGTTGGATCGGTGGCAACGGTGGTAACCGTGGCAACATCGCAGGTACTGGTGGTTCTTCTTGGTTAAAGGGCTTTCTATTCCTTGGCTTGGGCTTGGGCTTGGGCTTGGGCTTGGGCTTGGGCTTGGGCTTGGGCTTGGGCTTGGGCTTGGGCTTGGACTTGGACTCCGGCTTGGGCTCGGAATGCGTAGGGGCTATTGCTAATTTATCTCAATCAACAATAGGTGGCAGGTGTACTGGATCAAAGTCAAGTTTAGGTATATTTTTTTCTTTGAAAATACGGCCACGATGGAAGAACAGCCCTTTAGCAATCACACGTTTGCTATTTGGTGGCTCGGTTATCGGGTCAGAGTTTGTTGTTGTTATTGATGTTGCTATGGCTGACGTCGAATACCTGTCACCAGAGACCATGACCTAACTACCGTGTGCTTAATTTCCCATTAACAAGCACACTTCTTAAGTGTCAGTACATTTCTTAAGTGTGTTCTGAGTCTGAACTAATAACTTGCTGTAACTGATACTATATGCCAAAACAATAAACATAGATACAGAGAGCGGTTTGCACATATAACATAAGATCAATGGAGGCTAATGTGAACATCACACACATAAATTCTACACTAAAGATAGTGTGGAAGGATCGTAAAGCCTTCTTTCATCGCAGAGATGAGTCCAATTAAGACTATATGTTACATTCCCCAGCCCCATCCGTTTCAGTCATTCATGACGAGCCATAAAAATAAGATATGTAGCAATTAACTACAAGCTTGTACTCTCAATCAAGAGAGGTGATATATGTTTCGTGAATGGGGCAGTGCAAGGAGGTACTGCCAATACCACCCTCTCACGGGAGCGTCTTCTAGATCTTGCGGATAAAATATATGACGACGGTCATGTATTGTTCATTGCTCCCTTAGGCGATGGGGTGGGTTATATGCAAGTTAATGAGATGATGAAGCGGTGGCGGACGCAACATGAAACAGTGAATGCCACTATGCGACAATTTAATACCTATTACGCACATTTCGTATATCGAGATTCAAACACGGGGGGTGTTTTGTGGCGGTTGCAATATTTATCCAACTATCTATAAGAAATGGTCTTCCATTGTTTGATAAGGATTGACACGAGTGTACATCACCACAATACACAAAAAAGTGTTTTCCACCATTTAAGAGTAAACAAACCGGATGCTGCACATGGAACCTTGGAACTAAAAAGGGTTCGTCAGCTCGTACTCTTTGTCAATGCGCGTGTGTGTGCACGGAACAAACATCGCTGCTGGAGTCAGTGGCCGCGTAATCTCATATTTTCTGTATGCTTCGCCGATACTTTGCATGCGTTAAATTAAGGCAAACTATATTCATATATGCGTTTATCAATTTAAACATGTAGAGATGAACTGCTAACAGATACACACATATCTGAATCCTAATGTATTTTTTGTTTGTTTGAGATTTTCATTGTTCAAAATCACGATAATTATCAATTTTGAGTGGATGCTTTCTCCATAAAAAAAATACAATATCTTTTCTGTTAAGACACAAATGTACGGCTAGTTCCAGATTCCTGTGTAGTTCAGATTGCCCGAACAGCCATACCGATTAATTCCGACTCATTATTTTAGCTACATGACTTTAATTATGTTGTGCTTAAAAGGGGCAAGCCGTGAATTTCTTCACATTTGTAGATAATATGTCAGAACTGATCCGAGTGCATGTGACTTCCACAGTCGTGTGTACAAGCCCAAAAAGAGTCTTCACAGAGAAAGCCCCTATAGGGAGAGAAGAATCCTAGCTGTTAGGGTTGGTGTGGTGGGAAGTACAAAGTAAAGTATACTGAATCGTATCCAAACGGATGGCTATATATAGCACCCATGCTTGCGTCAGAATTGCATGCTTGCGTCATTCTGACGTCAATGTGACTCCCAGTGCTCCATGCTTCATGCGTCCGCAGCCTAAGCTCCATAAACCTCCCGTCACATTCGTCGTCAAAGCCCCCCCCCCCTTTTTTTTGCGCAGGCGCAATTGTAATAAAAAAAAATGTGACTAAATTTTCATTGCTACTGCACATTCGTATCTCGGTCCTGTTGACCTGTACAATATACACTCATATGCCTTACAACCCATAGTCAGTATTGGCCAGCAATTGAATTACTATATAATATTGTTCTCAATTCAGTGTGAAATTTTGACTTCATTGCATTTGGCGGCGCGTATAGTAGCAAGCAAACTGTTTAAATATGTCGACTAGTCCAGTACAGTGTTTTGAACGAATTGCATGTAGAAAGATGGAACAGTTTGCACTGTTATATACGTGATTGAAATTAGAACTTTGTCATATACAGTATAAATTTAGTTCAAGGACAAGTGCGCGGCGAGAAAGAATTATTTTTATTATTGCTTATCAGTTTTGCATGTAGTGATCATTGTCTTCAACTTCGCAAATATCGGCATATATATTCAAGTCTCTAACAAGAAATAAAACTTTCTACATTATTTTTGCTTCATGATGGCTCGAGCCTGCGATTGGCTTTGAATGAGAAAATTGTAGATGAACTGTTTGCTGTTGGAATCTGTCAGGCAAATTTACTGCACTGGTTTGGATTCTCAGCACAAGTATAAACAATAGTAGGCCATACTCTTGCACTTTGACACTTTTTGGATTGGCATAAGTGTACAGGCTCTCGTATATGGTTGTACTACACAGTACAACCCTTTTTAAGTACTAATTGCTCAAGTTAAAGTAGCAGGTTGTTTTGACCTGTTTGGTTATAGTGTATTTTGCGTTTCGATGTTTTCAAATATGCGTCTGCGCATTTCGTTGCGCACATCCTCCCACGGACCTGCTCTTGAGTACATTAAATATGTTTTAGTCTAGAAGTTGTAAATTTGTAGTTTGTATTTTTGGTTTATCAGCTTCCGTACGTATTTTTATCGCGGTGATCACGTATTTCTCATATTGCTTTGAATTCAAAACTGTCTAGTGCACTATTTACACGCCGTTTATACTCGAACTCATACACTCGTTTTGGTCACGTATAATACATCCCATGGGGTAGCCATAATGATAACCTTTTCTATTTTTCAATGAATATGACCTCACCTGATAGTACGGAAAATCCGGGGAGTATTCCATCCTAAAATAGATTAATTCTTCCAAATCATGTCTTGACTCGATAATGTTGCAAATGCAGTTGTTATCAGGTAACACTGAACTCCGTACGAGTTTCGTCTGGTACTCAGTTTACATAAACGTTTCAATTTATATTTTATTTTAACTTTCCTTTACTAAAACAACCAGGTCTAGTACTGACTTGGGTTGGAATTTATACATGTATTGGTGATGTTTTCTTCTGTGACTATTCTAAAAATATAAGCGAATTGATCTTTCTCTCTCGTGACCGTTCAAGACATTGAATTTGCCAAGGGGGGGGGGAGGGGGGAGCGGGGGTTCATTTCAGGATAGCTTGACTGTTCCAAATCAAGTTTACAAGCGCACTGGTATAAACTGATGTACGAGAGCATCCAGATACGACTTGATTGCATTCGCTTTCACCCATACTCATCTATTGAACAAAACCATAGACGGTTCTGCTGTCGAACCACTTGGGCTTCACGTCGGATTGAATTGCGAGTTAAAACTTCAGATCTATTGATTTTGTTTGGTACATGAGGAGCCTGAATCTGACGCCTTTTAAATATGTTCTTATTTGCAATTTCGATACCGACGAACGATGCGGTTTTAACGCGCTATTTATGCTGTCCAAAAGCTAACGCATTCGGCTTTAGGTTTTCAGCGTATTGGTCCACGATGACACGGAAGAGGAAACCGACAAACAGGAGAGCGTGTGCGTCAGAATGATTTCATGGGCGAGGGGCGAGGAACACCCTTTGTTCGGGTGTCATCTGCATGTCCTGACTCAAAGCTACCAGTGCGCAGCTGATGCCGAACTTCCACTCCTTGTGGCTTCACATTGAATGATCCAACAGTTTTTGCCATAGTCGTATGACTTTGACACCATCAACCTAGACTAAGCGCTTGCTGATGAGCATACAAGAATAATTAAATTGCTGGACTCACGCCACCCGGCAACTATCTGGGGTTGGGAAAGGCAGTAGCTGGAAGATGGCCTTTGCCAGATACGTCATGGTGCCATGTCTGCCACTGGGTGCGTTATCGTAGAACAACGTCAACCGCCAGTCTCCATCGCCAGTGTCTACTCCGGGTTTGCCCCCGCCAGCTTTCACACCCAGGCCGACCATATCGTTCTCGTGATTAAAATCGTACGCACAGAGATCCTACAAACGGAAGAGGTGGATGCACAGGAAGACCGTGGTCAGTGTGAGCGTTTCAGCCTGTACACATATACAACAATACAATCTCAGCCGTGTTCTGCCATGTCAACTGCGACTATGAATAAGCACGTCCTTAACATGTGACTTCAAACAAAATACACAAACGTTTGACCACGATGGGATGAGTGTCTTAAAGTACACGTGTTTGTCTATAACTACCATCATCCGGTTGGACAACACCATGAAATTCTACATTGAGTGAAAACAGTCTAACTAAAAACGAGCAAATGTAGAAAGCTGTCAGGGCAGAGATAATATCTACAGGTGTACCGAAAAAATTATTCGGGTGGGACATGGCAAGAGTCATAAAACAATCAGCTGGAGTGGTGGGAACTGTCAATGGCTATACGCTCTGTGCAGTCAGACGTCAACAGGCTAAATTAGGCGGCACTATCTCGAGCCTTTTGAATCGAAACACAACACACTCACCTCATCAAACAACGACACAGTATGCGCTACAGTGGCAAGTACTTTCAATCGAAACACAACACACTCACCTCATCAAACAACAAACACAACACACTCACCTCATCAAACAACGACATGGCATGCGGTACAATGGCAAGCACTTTCAATCGAAACATAGCACATTCACCTCATCAAACAACAAACACAACACACTCACCTCATCAAACAACGACACGGCATGCGGTACAATGGCAAGCACTTTCAATCGAAACATAGCCCACTCACCTCATCAAACAACAAACACAACACACTCACCTCATCAAACAACGACACGGCATGCGCTACAATGGCATCCAGATCGATGACGTGGCTGACAGACCAGCTTGGATTCTCCTCCATAATGAATGAGAGCAGCATAAGTACCTACACCATGTAGTAACGTAGACGTAAAGGTAAACATACTTATTTCTTGAGTACTTATCCGGGCCTTCATCCATGTCTTGGATAAGCATTCAAGGGCATCCATTATACATATGTATTTGCTGAGCAGAGAGACATGTTTGGAGCTGATCTATTTTTAACCTTCCGCACATGTCGATTGAACTAGATATAGCTAGCAGAGTATTAACGGTAGTCCCACAACACAAACAAGCACCACCGCACAACTGAAGGATGCACCAATTCCAGCCCACACCAATGGACAGGGCCATAGTAGTGGACCAAGTGTAGGGTGGGTAGTACAGGTCTGAATAGGATTTGAAGCCAAGTGCTTCAAAACGGGCAATTTGATACCCGTGTCGCACGTGGGCGTATACATTCATACGTCATAAACATTCTTGTATGCGTGTAGCACGTGGGCGTATACATTCGTATGTCATATACATTCGTATGTCATATACATTCGTATGTCATATACATTCGTATATCCGTTCCGAACAATCATACACATGACCACACACACACCTCCACAGTCAATTGTCTGTATTCGGCGCTGACGATGCAGTTGAGCATACTCTCCACGCGGAGCGCAAACTTAAGTTCGCCAGCAGTCATTTCCTGCAGCAGACGACGATGATGCACGAGAGAGAGATCAGCACATAATAGCCAATCGGATTGAACAATAAGGACGACGATGATACACGAGAGAGAGATCAGCACATAATAGCCAATCAGATTGAACAATAAGCCGAAGTACATCATGAGAGTTGTTAGTCGTGTACGGGCAGGGCCAAATCGTCTGTAGGCGATTCTGGTGTTCACGAATCTACCGATGCAGGTGTGGTCCTGCAATCTCAGTGCACCAGATAAATCTAGAAGATACAACACCACGGATACACTGTAATATATCCTTGTGCATTACGCTCTCACAAGTAGTAAGGGGGGGGGGGGGGAGTAGCCTGCCCATACAGCCCACTCGTCGAATGTGTATAGGCCTATAATAGACCCCTCACTGCACCACTTAAGCTTTGGCGGCGGTTGTCATGGTTACACACCTGAACTGTAGGCCGATGCGGGAGCAGGTGATTGCTCACAACAAAGCCATGGGATTTCTTGAGCACATGCCATACACGATTGAAGAACTTGACCGGCACACGGTTGAGTGCACCGTCCAGTTGCCTAGCAACGGAACAGAGCAGAGCAGAGCATAGTGATTAGATGATCGAGTTAGAGAGAGATACATGTCAGGAGAAATAATCAAGCGTACCTACCCACACAGAACATACACACTACCACAGCACGATATAACCAAACAAATCGATACCAGCATACAACCACACACTAACCTTCGGCGCATCCACTGGCCCCTACGCGAGGCGGTGTCACTGTCGGAGTGCTTCTCCTTCTTCAGTTGATGCACGTCTTGTTCTAGTCCGATGATGTTGGACGTCTTGTGCGTGCCCTTTTCCGGCCCAATGTAGTTGGCGATATCCTCCTCGATCATATTCTTCTTGCCTGCGATTGTTAGTGCATGCGCACATGTGTAAGTGGGGATTCTCCTCCTGGGTGCATTGGTGAGATACAGGAACAGGGCCCACACTCTCCAAGTGTAAAATGCACGTAGAAACGCATTGCCTGACTACAGGGTCTTCGATACCCTGGGAGATTAGGTAATGGAAGTATACCGATGTATGAGTGGTTTGCGGCACAGATAGTCACAACTACGTAAGCTATCTCGTACCCCAGGCGTGAAATCTGGCATTCTGAGTTCAAAACGGTGACGCTATTTCTATCGAAGACTGTATGGAATAGCGAACAAGCCCAAGTATTGAGGAATCTTTCTTAATAACACATAGATCGCAATAACACTTAGAATAGGAAAGGCAGGACCAGCTCATAAATTTTGCAAATGCGATTAACAAGCTTGACTTAATCCAGACACGCTTGTATGCGAGGTATGCCCTGACACTAACAGCCTCAGAATGAGGCTATCGAACATTGTACCGCCACTTCTATATATATATATATATATACATACATATATATATATATATACATACATATATATATATATATACATACTATATATATATATATACTATATATAGTATACACACAACAACACACACACACATATATATATATATATATATATGTAGATGTATATAAATATATACACATCTATATATATGGTCTCCCTCTCCCTCTCTGTAGCCCCGTCATCGCTTAGGAGATGTCAATCCAGATAGTACCACCCACAACAAACGATATCACAAGCACAATTGTTCGCTGTAATTGCTCTGCCACCCCTAAACCACTCAGAGACATTCACATCCGTCCCCCATAATTCAGTCCCCTGCCCATACCATCTTCGTTCACATTGAACTCCTTTCCAGACAGCATGTGGTGCAATAGGGACTTGAGCTCGAATGGCGACCGTCTTAATAGGTATTCGTAAGCGAGGTTTTCACTGCAGTCCAGATTGCGCGCAAGTTCGCTCATCATCACGCGGATGATCAGCCCTACACGCACACTGATATGACAGAGACACAGTCGAGGAGAAGGAAGAGGTGAGTGAGTGAAACAGATGATCAGCCCTACAGGCACACTGATATGACAGAGACACAGCCGAAGAGAAGGAAGAGGTGAGTGAGTGAAGCAGATGATCAGCCCTACAGGCACACTGATATGACAGGGACACAGCCGAAGAGAAGGAAGAGGTGGGTGAAGCAGATGATCAGCCCTACAGGCACACTGATATGATAGGGACATAGCCGAAGAGAAGGAAGAGGTGAGTGAAACAGACACCGTAACAGCCTTTCAAACGCACGCGCGGAGTGTAGTATGAACTGACAGTCGGAGACAGTCGCTTTGTTTTGAATACCAGTGGTAATGGCAGCTAGAGCACGCCTGGAGTTCATTCTAAACTGCTAGTAGTGAGAGACTGAGTCTGTGAGTCTGAGGACAAGACACCTCACGGGGCGAAGGCGGATTGATAGGCACACCAAGGTAAGGTGACTCAGGATGAGTTTTTTTAGGGTTTCCTAAAGAACCCTAAAACCCTGAAAACCAGAGAAGTAAGTCAACGTGGTTGATGCGGGTGACACTAGTTAGTAGTCTCTGCGCAGCACAGGTGATGCATAAACCACAGACCAGCGGTGGCCTAGCGACGGTGCATCAAATTGTGGTCTCCATGTGATTAACCGATACCGGATGCATTGAATTGAAATGATATGATATGGTATTATGATTTGATACCGTATGTATTGATACGGTATACTCCTTAGGCTCTGGTTGGCGAGGCAGGCCTCAGCCGACGACACAACCAATACCGAACTGCTGCGAAAATGGGCAGCACACAAGGCCCCTCCCCACACCACACGCACACGTACAAACACAAATACAGATGCAGACATAGGCACAGACACAGACACAGACACATACATAGACACATAGACACATGCACACATACACAAAAACACGCACCCACACCCACATACCGAAGAATTTCGTTGAAGAGCGCAGGTTCGTTGCGGATGAACATGGCCAAGTACACCAAAATCTCCTGTGTCAGCACACACACCACACATAGACACATGCACACATACACAAACACTCACCCACATACCGAAGCATTTCGTTGACGAGCGCGGGTTCGCTGCGGATGAACATGGCCAAGTAAACCAGAAACTCCTGATGTCAGCACCCACACCACACAAAGACACATGCACACATACACAAACACATACACAAACACACCCACATACCGAAGCATTTCGTTGAAGAGCGCGGGTTCGCTGCGGATGAACATGGCCAGGTACACCAGAAACTCCTGTGTCAGCACACACACCGCCGGATCGCCCGCACTGACCATCTCTACCAGCGACTGAATCTCCGCCGGTGGCTTGGGGACGGAGATGATGCTCTCACGCTGAGCACCCCAAGTGGACGGCACACCCAGTGAGATCTGGGAGGGGGTGTGGGTGGTATGATAGTAAGTCAGACTAGACTGCGGAACAATGCTCTGGTGTTGAGAGTGATGAAGAGAATCCTTCTTTTGGGACGACGAGTCCTGATCGGTGTGCGTTATATAAGGGCGAGGTATGCGGATGGGGATGTTCACTGTACAAATAGAATCTGTATCTAAAACACATGACTGCAATAGGATATATATATATATATATATATATGTGAATAGATTTATAAATATATATATATATATATATGAATAAAATATAATATTAGAATGAA